TAGCTGATAGCTGTTTGGTATAATTTCTTTTCTCAAAAAGCTAATTGAAAAAGTTGTTTGGAGTAGTTTTTTGAATTTTAGCCTTTTGGAGTTGCAAAAAGCTAATTAACCAAACATTTATATTGATATCTTGTTGGGTAATATGGTTGAAAATTCCCAAAAATAATAATCCTACGAAAAGATTAATATTATATGGGAAAACAGAAAGAATTGGGAAGGAAAAGGTTGAGTGTTTGGGTAAAGGTTTAGCACGAGTTCGAACACAAAGTTATTTTCCTTAAAACCTTATTTGCTACCTCCCACAAGTGCTAGGAGCGTTGTAGCCTAGGTTTCCCAGGATAAAACGTGCTACGATTCCTTGTTTAAGCACCTAAACAAGGAACCCGGCAAACAAAGCAAAGTAGAGAACACTAGTTGGTAAAGAAGAGAGTAGAAGCAGAGTTTTGGGAAGCTGAAAGCTACTGGAATTCCTTTCGTTTTTGTACTGTGTGAAAAGCTACTGCTCTACCTCTCTTTATATAGGGATGTTGGAAGGGATAGCATTCAACATGGCCTTTAATTGGTATTAAACCAGTTGTATAACACCTGTAACGGTCACCCACTAAGTAGGATTAAACTCAGATTTAAAATTGGAATTAAAACAGTATTAATTCCGTAACAGATGAGTTTAATCTGTACAACAGGCTGAACTTTTGGGTTTCAGACCGTTGGGGTGCAGGTTCACACGAGAGCACACAGACCAGCAACACGAGAGTACATCTCTCGTGCTCACTGTGGTGCAACTCGAGAGTGCACCACTCCCGTGGTCACAGATGCACGAGAGTTGTGCTCTCGGTGCACCACAACCTCTCTTGCTCCTCTGTAGCACGAGAGTAGGTGCTCTCGGTTCGGTTCCGGCCGAAAATGATACCGAAGTTTGGCATAACTTAGCCTGCAAGGCCAGCCAATTTCCGGACGACATTCGTGCCCGCGCACGCGAGCTCGGGCTTGATTTCAAGCCTTTTCGATCTCCTCTAGTTGGATTTTGATTTGCACTGTGTGAAAGCTACTGCTCTACCTCTCTTTATATAGGGATGTTGGAAGGGATAGCATTCAACATGGCCTTTAATTGGTATTAAACCAGTTGTATAACACCTGTAACGGTCACCCACTAAGTAGGATTAAATTCAGATTTAAAATTGGAATTAAAACAGTATTAATTCCGTAACAGATGAGTTTAATCTGTACAACAGGCTGAACTTTTGGGTTTCAGACCGTTGGGGTGCAGGTTCACACGAGAGCACACAGACCAGCAACACGAGAGTACATCTCTCGTGCTCACTGTGGTGCAACCCGAGAGTGCACCACTCCCGTGGTCACAGATGCACGAGAGTTGTGCTCTCGGTGCACCACAACCTCTCTTGCTCCTCTGTAGCACGAGAGTAGGTGCTCTCGGTTCGGTTCCGGCCGAAAATGATACCGAAGTTTGGCATAACTTAGCCTGCAAGGCCAGCCAATTTCCGGACGACATTCGTGCCCGCGCACGCGAGCTCGGGCTTGATTTCAAGCCTGTTCGATCTCCTCTAGTTGGATTTTGATTTGCACCCCCCCCCCCCTCTCCCGCGCTAGAGAACCTCTATGCTATACAATTCTACAAGCTTGAAAAGAGCTCATGTATATAAGGGGGGCAAATCTTGTTTCCAAACCAATGTGGGACAAAGTCCTACATTTTCCCTTCATTTCCCAACTTAAATGAGTCTACTTTGAGAATCAATATCTCATTCACCCATTATCCGTTTTGAGCGTACAATATATCAATCTCTTCGTCTCACTACGAAGAACCCGAATCCACTTTGACCCGACCCAAATCGGAAGTGGACCCCACTGATAATTGTACCACAAAATAGCCACTTAATATGCCATTTTATGCTAATTTTTCCAACATATCTTAACTAAATCAAATAATTAATAGTGGTCAGATAAGTCAAAATTAACTTATAGGCCAATTTTTTACCAAACATGGCCATTATTATTGCCAAAATTGTAAGTATTGAACTTTTGAATGAGAATGAAGAGGGAAGAGCTACTATTTTATGCAAACATTTAATGGGAAAGAATGCTGTAGTGCTCATATTGGATGGTGCCTATAATTGCATTTGCTTAGGGAAATTAGGTAACCTCTTGGGGTTGAAGGTGCAAGCTTATCATAACTACTCATTCAATAGTAATTAATGAAGCTTAGGATTTGTTTAAGAAAATTTTATAACAGCATTATAATACTATACTCATTAATATTGTTGAAAAACTTTCCAAATGCAAATAAGATTCCTAAAAGAAAAATAGGAACGTTTTGAACAAATTAAAAGGAACTAAAAAGAGATACTTCCCATCATGGCTACAAGACTATTTTGAAAATAACTATAGCTAAACATACTAATAATAACAATCTATATCTATATCTATATCTATATATATAAGTAAAACCCTCTTAGCCAAGTTTTCCCCCCAAAATTTAGGGACATTTTTGTAATATCAAATATTTAGACAAATATGGCATTTCAATAATATTAAGGGAAAATGGCACTTCTTCCCCCTGAGTTATATACTTATAGCACTTTTCCCCCCTGAATTATTCAAGTGGCTGTTTTTCCCCCTGAAATGTTAAATGGACATATTTACCCTTAAAATAAATATTTAAAATAAATATTTCATTTATTTTTCTTCTCCAACAAATTATGACCATAATTTGGTTCAAACCAAACAAACACTATAGCAACCAAACCGAAATATTCCAATTATAATTTAGAATCGAAACTTGATATTTAGAGTTTATTAAAATTGCGAACCGAAACAGACGGTTCATGTTCCAAACTGAAAAAATAAAATACATTTATTGTTGAATTTAGACTATTTTAAAATAAAAAATAAAATTTTAAAATAAAGACGGTTTAAAATCGCGAACCGGATCCGGAATCGCCAGTTCACGGTTCAGGATCCAATTTTTTTAATTCATAATTTTAATAAATTGAAATCCAAATATTAGGTTCTAGATCTGAATCATAATCGGAAACTTTTAATTCAATTGCTATAGTGTCCGATTCAGTTCGAACCGAACCGTGGTCATCCCTACGTATACGCAATAATTTGTTGGAGAAATAAAATAAATAAAATATTCACTTTAAGGGTAGCAATGTCAATTTAATATATCAGGGGGGAAAACTACCACTTTTAGAATAATTGAGGGGGCTAATGTGCTTACCTAAATAATTGAGGGGGAAAAAGTGCTATAAGTATATAACTCAGGGGGAAAAAGTGCAATTTTCCCTAATATTAAATATTTTACCTTTCTTGAAATCTCTTATCATTTTATAATTTCAATACTAAACCCTTTTGATCTCATCCATTGTGTATAAATATACCTTATTTGACCATACACAACCCCAACTAAGGTTAATTATTTCATTGATTTTTGCTAATCATCCTGTGATCTTCCACAGTTGAGGTTGATTTCACTACTGGAAATTATGGAATTTCCGATCACTTGAAAGTGATCTTAAATCAAATCTAAAGTAAAAAGCGGTCGGAAATAGCTATAAAGGTTTTTCCGGATACCAAAAGTGGTCGGAACAAGACTTTTAATTTGATTTAAGATCATTTTCAGGTGGTCGGAAATTTCATAATTTTCAGCAGTGATACGTGATTTGCACGGGTGAGGTTTTCATTATCTTAGTTTCTTTTATTCTTTCTTCTTTTTTGGGTTTTGTTTTGTTTTTATTTTTTTGTATTTTTTGATTTTTAAACAACAAAAGTGGTTCGTAAGAAAAAATGTTGATATATTCTTTTTTTTTGGTCTATTTTTGTGGAGAAGATACGGATCTAGAAAGATTGATCGGGAAGCAATAAACTTCTAATCATCATGTGATCTTCCACAGTTGAGGTTGATACGTGATTTGCATTGGTGAGGTTTTCATCATCTTAGTTTCTTTTATTTTTTCTTCTTTTTGGGTTTTGTTTTGTTTTGTTTTTTTTTTTATTTTTTTTTTATTTTTTTTTTATTTTTTATTTTATGGTTTTTAAACAACAAAAGTGGTTCATAAGAAAAAAATGTTGATATATATATTTTTTTTGTTTGTCTATTTTTGTGGAGAAGATACGGATCTAGAAAGATTGATCGGGAAGCAATAGAGTTCCTTGCTCATCAAGATGATAAAGTTTTGTGATCGAGGGACGAATTATGTGTATATGTAAATAGATATAGACTTACAGAGGGAAGCATACTAAGAATACAATAAAAAACAAAATGAAATTAAAAGCATTTTTTAGTTGTCAATATATCAAAGCGTTGGACTTTGTTTTGATTCAATTTCTCCGTCTTTAAAGTGTACATTTTTTGTAATAAGAGAGTAGTTTGTCTCTCCCTTCAAGACGTTTTTCTTGCCATTTAATTTTTTATTTTTTATTTTTAGGAAAAAAAATGATTAAGTACTGTTGCTTTTTTTCAATAGAGTATTATTTTGATTTTATTCTTCATCTGACATTCTTTGATATAAAATCACTTTACTAATGTAAAATAATGTTATTGACTTACCATGTTTGCTTCGATATGCTAAGCCATTTAAAATTTAATACGGGGTAAAATTTATAATTGTAATACTTTCGTAATAATATTGAATAAATATTAATCATATGTTTAGATTTAATAATATATTATATTAAAAGAATTATATATTAATTTAATATAGTGATGATTAATACTGTTAGCATGACTAGTATTTTGTATTTATTATTTTAAATATATAGTCATAGATTGGTGGTGGTAGTTCTGTTTGACTTAGCTTCTCTATTAGTTAGGATTAGTTAGAGATTAGTTCTACGATATACTCTGCAATCCTATCTTCCTGTGTAATTGAATTGAGGTGAATTCTCTAATCTGGTATCAGACACAGGTTATTCGATCCTCTCCAACCTCCACCACAAACCACTTCCCCCTCTCACCCTCTTTTCGCCGGCAACACCACGCAATGTCGACGTCCTCCGAGCGCACTGCTTCTGCCGCCGGAAACTCCTCGCCGGCCACCGGAAATTCGTTATCCGGTGCGCATCACTACATCACGATGAAGCTGACTCTCAAAAATTATCTCTTCTGGAGGATGCAGCTGCTTTCTTTCCTCCGCGGCCAGGATCTCCTGGGGTTCGTGGATGGCAGCTTTCCATGCCCGCCGGCCACCATTCTTGGAACTCCGTTGACTGGCGACTCGGCAACCACCTCAACCGCGACTGTCGCGGTGGCCAATCCGGCGTACCACGCCTGGGTTAAACAGGATCAGACCATCGTGTCTCTCCTGGTCTCGTCCATGGCGGATGAAGCTCTTCATCTTGTGCTAGGCCGGGATACGTCGGCTGATATATGGAGCTCCACCACCGGCGCACTTGGGTCCTCCAGTCAGGCTCGGTGTCTCACACTGTTAAGCCAATTCCAGATGTTACGCCAAGGCAACGCCACAACCGCAGACTACCTCGGGAGAGCCGGCGTCCTAGTCGAAGCTCTCATTCAAGCCGGTCGCCCGCTCACACTAATGGAGCAGAATTTATATGTCATAAGGGGCCTGCGACCGGAGCTGAAATCACTCGCCACATCCTTAACGGCAACCGGGGCGGCGGTAACACTGACGCATCTCTCTGATTTCCTACAGGCGCATGAATTTATTTTGGTGGATGATTATCCATCGCTCGACACCGGCGTCACCCACACTACCATGTACGCCGGAACTGGCCGGGGAACGCACGGTGGTGGCAGGCAGCAGCAGTCCTCGTAGCAGCAACGGGGTGACCGGCCAGGCCGTGGTGGCCAACACCGGGGAGGCCGTGGTGGTCGCGGATCGCCGAGGTGCCAAATCTGCCGCTCACACTGTCATTCGGCGATCTACTGCTACAGAAGGTATACGACTCAACCACCGCAGCCTGAAGCGCATGTTGCCATGTCCGGTGAAGCTCCGGCGCCTCCATCCACTGTTCCGGGTGATGGGTGGTACCCGGACACCGGGGCCACCGCTCACGCAACTCCGGACCCGAGCATGTTGAGCCAATCAGATGAGTATGGCGGATCAGACGTTCTCAGAGTGGGTAATGGGGCAGGTTTGTCTATTTCGCGAACTGGTCGTGCAATTATCCCATCCTTGTCTAAACCTTTGTGTTTGAATAATATTCTGCATGTACCCAGTCTTTCTGTCCTGTTACTCTCTGTCAATAAATTTGCAATTGACAATAACGTTTTTTTTGAATTTCATGCCAATTACTTTACTGTGAAGGACTCCACAACCAACACAATCCTGCTTAAAGGGCCAACATCGGGCGGCCTTTATAAACTCCCGGTGTCAAGACAAAATTTCGCGTTCGTCAGTTCCCGGGCTACTCCCACCACTTGGCACCGCAGGCTAGGACACCCGCACAAGCAAGTCCTAAATAAAGTTCTCCAAAAGTGCCCCGTCACGCCTAATAAAGCAACATCAGTCGAGTCATGTACCTCATGCCACCTTGGAATGTCATCTAGATTCAAGTTAGATAGTGTTCCCAATTCCACTGAAAATGTATTAGATTTAATTTGGACCGATATTTGGGGGCCTTCCCCTGTATTGTCTATTAGTGGTTTTCGATATTTCTGTCTTTTTGTAGATGACTACTCCAGATTCTGCTGGTTTTATCCATTACGGGTAAAATCAGACATATATAAAGCATTTGAGTCGTTTCGTGTCTTGGTAGAGCGGCAGTTCTCGCGCTCTATCAAATCAATTCAATCTGACTTAGGGGGTGAGTACCAAAAACTACACAAAATATTCCAATCTTTAGGAATAAACCACCGCCAATCCTGCGCATATACACATGAACAAAACGGCCGAGTAGAACGCCGCAATAGACATATTGTCGAGACCGGCTTAACTCTACTCGCCGAGGGAAAAGTACCCCATGAATATTGGGATTATGCTTTCGAAACAGCAAACACCTTAATCAATTATTTACCTTCGTCAGCCATTAATTTTGAAAGCCCATACACCCGTCTATTTAATACATCACCCCCATACACCTTTCTTCGTGTCTTCGGGTGTCGGTGTTACCCATATCTAAGGCCATATAACCAGCACAAGATTGAGTATTGCTCCACCCCATGTGTCTTCTTAGGTTACCCACCGTCCTTTAGGGGATATAGGTGCGCTGATCTAATTAGCGGAAAGACTTACATCTGTCGTCATGTCCACTTTGACGAATCTATTTTTCCATTTGACACAGATTATTCAGCACAAGTGCCTACCACACCGGCCTTACCTTGGGCGTCAGCACTAATTGTCTCACAAGGTCCAGCTCCGGACCCAACACTTGCACCGGTTGAGACACCGGCCCCTTCTGGACCTGAGCCAATGCCCTTGGCTCGTGAGTCACCACGGCTAGCTATAACACATACTGCCCCGGTAAGAACGAGGAAACGACGTGCCCAACCACAAAGTCGTGATCATGTCATGCGACTGCGACACATGACGAGGGGTACGGATGAGCCGTTCCAGGCTTTAACCGCAGTAGCGGATCCCACGTGCTACTCACAAGCTGTGGGCCATGCACATTGGCGTGAGGCTATGGACCAGGAGTTCAACGCCTTACTACATAACAACACCTGGCGGCTTGTTCCACCTAAGCCACACATGAACATCATTGGGTGCAAGTGGGTTTTTCGCACCAAACGCACCGCTGATGGTTCTGTTGAGCGGTATAAAGCCCGGCTAGTGGCAAAGGGGTTTAATCAGGTAGCAGGAGAAGACTTCTTTGACACATTTAGTCCAGTGGTCAAACCGACCACAATACGGATGCTTTTTTCTCTGGCTGTTTCCAACAGGTGGACACTATGGCAGCTAGATGTGCATAATGCCTTCCTAAATGGGCATTTAAATGAAATTATATTATAGAACTTTTCTATATAAATATTAATAAATATTATGTGTATATACAATGAATTATACAATCATATAAGGAAATGCGTCGGATTAGAGTTTAAATTTATTCATACAAAATTTAGAATTTATATTTTTTTTATAAAACTAATCAAATGTTAATGTTAATAATAATAATAAGAATTTTAAAATCAGAATTATAAATTAAGTATTAGGGTAATAATTAATCTATATATATATATTATATTATATTATATTGTATTGTTATTATTATTATTATTATTATTATTATTATTATTATTATTATTATTATTATTATTATTATAATATAAAAACAAAATCATCCTTTTTCAAAAAAAAAAAAAAAACAACAAAATCATCCTATTTCATTTTCCAACCCAAACTTTTGTAGTAAAGCTTATTTGGTAAGTAAATGTCAAATGGAAGTTAAATAAAATTTATTAATTGGTAATATTGCATAATTGGTAACATTATGTATGGTATTATATTCTATAATATAATAATATAATTGATAATATTATTGTTCAAGTATAATAAAAATCCTATGTAATAATGTAATAATAATAAAATAAAATTAAAATTAAAATAATAACAATAACAATAACATAACAATAATAATAATAATAATAACAACAACAACAAATGTAATAATCCAAACAAAACTATATACAAAATAAATTTAAAATTAAAAAAAAAAAAATAGGAAGAAGACAAAGGTGGCTCCCCTTTGTAAATGATGTGGGATCATTTTGATTCCACATTGAAAATGTTTGGAAAGATGAGCTCTTAAACTCCTCTATATAAGAGGGGCATTTACAAACATATAATTGCTTGCCCATCAATATGGGCAAGTATTGAGAAGTCCAAAGACTTTTTTTTTTTTTTTTTTTTTTTTTTTTTGTATTATTAACCTGACAAATTATGTTGTGGATATGTGTCCACCTTGCAAAGTAGACACATTTCAAAAATTGTTCATAATTATTAATATATAGTTTAAAAATTATGAACATATAGTTCTATAATTATGAACATAGTGTTGTGAACATAATTATGAACATATAGTTATGTAATTGTGAATATAGAGATTCAATAATTGTGAATATGAAGTTAAAAATTATGCATATATATCTTTATAATTATGAACATATAGTTCAGTAACTATGAACATAGAGTTCTGTAATTATAAATATAGAGTTAAATACGTACTTATGAATATGAAGTTCAAAAATTATGAATATATAGCTTTATAATAATGAACATATAGTTTAGTAATTATAAACATAGAATTGTGTCCACCTTGCAAGGTGGACACGGTTCCACAACATAACTATTCGATTGAACCTGTAACATGTAAACTTTCTCAACTTATTGAAGCGCTACGTATCAAAAGGCTCTTATTTAAGAAACCTTATCTTAATGGCTTCTTATTTTAGTTTTTTTAATTATTTTTTTTTAATTTATTAGGGGGTTTGAGAAAGATTAACCCAAAATGTATATGAGTTGTTTTATTTTTTAGCAGTTTGGAGCAAATTGCTAAGTTATTAAATAATATTTTTGGTGTTTTGATTAAATATAAAATGTTAAACAGACGAATTTGTTAAAATTTTGACAAATTTGCCAAATAATCAAATTACAACAACAACAACAACAACAACAACAACAACAACAATAATAATAATAATAATAATAATAATAATAATAATAATAATAATAATAATAATCCAAAAAAAAAACTATATACAAAATAAAATTAAAATTAACCAAAAAAAAAAAAAAAAGAGACAAAGACGAGCCGCCTGCTCCCTTTGTAAATGATGTGGGATCATTTTGATCCCACATTTACAATGTTTGTAAAGAGAAAGCTCCTCTATATAAGAGGAGCAATGAGACTCTTATAAACATAATTGGGGTTGTGGAAGATTAACCCAAAATGTATGTGTCGTATTAGTTTTTAGCAGTTTGGAGCAAATTATTGTGTTATTATACAATATATTTTGGTGTTTTGATTAAAGTTAAAATGTTAAAATGAGGAATTTATTATAATTTTGGCGAACTTATCAATAATCAAATTACAAATAATAATAATAATAATAATAATAATAATAATAATAATAATAATAATAATAATAATAATAATAATAATAATAATAAGGGAAAATTGTAAAAAATGCCCCTCTATAATATGTCAATTATCAATGTCACCCCTGAATTATGAGTGGTGTAAATATTGCCCTTCAATTATCAAAACGGTGCACATATAGCCCCTCCCGTAACGGATATGTGCTTCCCCGTTAGTGTACGACACCGTTAAGTCGGAGTAAATATATAATTTAGTTGTTTTTTCCCTCCATCGATTCGAAGTACCAGCGATGGACAACAGTGGGGAACCACAGGTCCGTTACGGGAGGGGCTATATGTGCACCATTTTGATAATTGAGGGGCAACATTTACACCACTCATAATTCAGGGGTGACATTGATAATTGGCATATTATAGAGGGGAATTTTTTACAATTTTCCCTAATAATAATAATAATAATAATAATAATAATAATAATAATAATAATAATAATAATAATAATAATAATAATAATAATAATAATAATAATAATCCAAACAAAACGATATACAAAACAAAATTAAATTTAAAATTAAAAATAATAAGAAGAAGACAAAAGGGAGCCACGGGCTCCATTTGTAAATAATGCTGGATCATTTTGATCCCACATTGAAAATGTTTGGAAAGAGGAGCTCTTGAGCTCCTCTATATAAGAGGAGCAATGCTCCTTTTACAAACATAATTGTTTGACCATCAATGTGGGCAAGTATTGAGAAGTCCAAATGCTCATATTTTATTTT